GTATACATATGCATGTATGTATGTGTGGATGTATGTATGTAGGCACGTAAGTAGGTATGTATGTATGTATATATGTATGTGAGTTTTTCTGTGTGTTTCTGTGTATGTTCTATAAATATAAGTATTAAAGTAAACATTGTTCATGTATGAACCTGTCAAAAGTACTAAACAAAGAGTAATACGCAATAACCTGTGCGTTACCTGACTCCAGTCATCCCTTAGTTGCAGCGACCAATGCAGCAGCTAATAAAATGTAACCTGAGCCTAGACAAAGGCTCAACAAACTAAGAAGGGACACTTGACTAAACATGTGTGCATGGAAAGTGTACCCTTCCAGTGCCTGGAAGTGTCTTTAAGATCCTCATGTTAGGTATATAAGACCAGTTATTAGAAGGAACAGAATAGTTTAGTTCAGATCTTGGATTCGTCAAGTGTGGAGGAACTCTCTAACAACATTAATAGAACAGAGAAAACACATGGGAGCAGGCAGAAATTTTTGAGCAGGGAACAAAGTTTATAATATTCTTAAAGTAATTGTCGATGAAAAAAGAACCCAAAACAATATTTTGTGCCAACAAAACTTATCTATATCATTTTGCTGATATAAAACTATAAAACTTGCTGCCAGTTCAACAAAACATTTAACTATTTTCCATTACTGATTAGTTTCTTTTTGGGGCTGAAGCAGTCAAGAGTTCAGTCTTGGAAATAATAATACACAATATATATTATTAAACCAAATCTAAGCGCTATATCAAATTACTTTTCGCGTCAAGCGATATTTTAACACATATGTACGTGTAACTGCAAGACAATGCACTTTGCAACCTTTATTTGGCATTTAAGAACTCGTTAGATAAACGACTATAATACAGACTTGATCGTTCCGCAATCGAGAAAACAAAAAAAACAACAGTACATAATTGCAACTGCAGCCTCCACAAAGCTAGCAACAATAGCTAAATGCCGGTCACGATCTAACCATAAGATTACCAAAGATTTCAGTTTGCAAATTTGTGTTTGCAAATACAAACGTATCTGGACCTTGAAGTAAAGTTAAGTATACGCTCAGTGTGGCTGCAACATGTTGCGGTTGCTGCTGCTGCTGCTGGGTCTGGCCCTCTCTGGTCCGCTGCCATCAGCTGTTGAGTCGGCCCAGATACTCGGCTTGTTCGGACATCCGGGCAAGAGTCACTTTGATTTCTTTCGTCCCCTGTTTGTGGCGCTGGCTGAGCGGGGACACAATATCAGCATGTACAGTTACTTTCCGCTGAAGGAGCCGATGGCCAACTACACGGATTACGTCTTTGAGGGCATGCCGCTGCTCACGGATTTCGTGGATCTGAAGGTAAATGAGGTTCATATGGTCGATACGAACTACACCCCAGCTCAACTCTCTCTCTCTCTCTCTCTCTTTCCCTAAGGGCATTGAACAACAATCTGATTTCTTGGGAATACCCATCAAAATGGGCAACTTCTTTATGCTGCACGACTGGAGTTTGCGCTCCTGCCAAGTGGCTTTGCACTCGCCACTGATCCAAGAGCTGCTCAAGTCGTCGCAGCGCTACGACGTCATCATCTTGGAGCAGTTCGCCAATGATTGTCTCTCCGCAGTTGCCCATCTGCTGGACAGACCGGTGATTGCCTTGAGCAGCTGTGCTATCATGTCCTGGCACTATCAAACACTGGGCACGCCCCACATCAACTCAGTCATGCCCATGAACTTTCTGCCCCACACCGACCACATGGGATTTGTGGAGCGGCTCAATAACTTTTTCCACTTTCATATTGCCAATGCACTCCATAAGTATATTTATATTCAACTTGTGGAAGCACATGATTTTTTGATTACTTGTCATATCTTTTAAGATATATAACAGAACCTGCCACAGATGCTTTAATTAGGGAACGCTTTGGCCCCGGTCTCCCGCCCATCAATGAGATTGTGAAGAACACGAGTCTCATGCTCATCAATCAACATTACTCCCTGTCTGGCTCAACTCCCTATACCGCTAATGTCGTGGAGGTTGGCGGTCTTCACGTGGGTCCAGCCAAGCCACTGCCCAAGGTAGGTGAAAATTTAATAAATATACTAGACCCATCATAATTTCTGTCTCCTTAGCACCTGCAAAGCCTCTTCGATGATTCCGACTTGGGCGTCATCTACATCAGCTGGGGCTCAATGGTTGATCCCAGCACTTTATCTGCGCCCAAGCTGCAGGCGCTCCTCTCAACCATCTCCAAGCTGAATCGCTATACATTTGTGATGCGCTGGATAAAGAAAGCCATGCCAGAAAATAAGCCTAAGAATCTACATACCTTCGAGTGGCTGCCACAGCGAGATCTCTTGTGTCATCCGAAAGTTAAAGCCTTCGTTTCACACAGCGGTCTCTTGGGCACTTCGGAGTCCATTTACTGTGGCGTTCCATTGCTCGTAACGCCCTTCTATGGGGATCAGTTTCTCAATGCTGCCGCTGTTGTTCAGCGACGTTTTGGAGTTATTGTGGAATTTAAAAACTTCGATGAGCACCATCTGAGTCGGGCTTTAAGAACTATACTGGATGATAAGTAAGTAGAACCCCAAGAAACTTAGGAGAGAGAGAGAGAGAGAGAGAGAGAGAGAGAGAGAGCAAAAGTAAAAATCAGATGGAAATATTCTCTGTCTATAGAGTCATATATTACAATAATTCCTAACTACACTTATTTACAGTTTTGCTATGCAGATGAAACACTCGACTATTGCATTTCGCGAGAGACCCCAAGATCCACTTAAATTGGCTGTCTGGTGGACGGAGCACGTGATCGCCACAAATGGAGCACCACTCGTAAGGAGCGCGGGCAATAATATCAATTGGTTCGTGTATAACTCGATCGATATTTATATCTGCTGCCTGGTAATCGTATTACTCTGCATCGGCACTGTCTGGAAGTTGTTTAAGCTTTTGAGATGGCTTTGTGGCAGGCGAAATGACGCCAAGCAGAACAAATTGAAAAAACAATAAATATTTCATTTGGCACCCGTGAAAACGGAACCTACAGAACCCTATCAATTCCATTCTAATTTGATCACGCGTTTGCTGACTAATTCACGAAAGGAACATGTGAATTTCGTTTTGGTATAATCTAGAAATTTTTACTGACCTCAAAAGATTAAATATTTTATTTACTCGTTGTTCTATGGTAAACAAATTATAAACAATTAGATTATAAAGAGACCTTTAATATTTTTAGTATAGTGAAAGTAAATACTGAGCTGATAATATTGGAATATTCCCAAACCATTTTGATAGTAATGTTAAATCATTCTTAACGATTGTTTATTTGTAACACATTAATATATCGTAATAATTTAAAGAAGTTTTGATCTTCGAGTTCTTATTAAAACAGCTGTGTTAAAAAAAAACAATAAATAAAATAAACAAGTAAGAAAGCTCTAGTCGAGACTGCCCGACTACGAGATCCCCTGAGCCCTTCGAGCAACTGATATTTCAATAATTATTCGCATATGCATACATACACGCACACACACAGAGATACGTACGCACGCATAAACACGCATTGGCGGCAGTGTTGGCTTACTATAGGAACTTAATTGCTTAATAACTTTTCTGGATGGACTATCTTCATGAAACTTTTAGATTATGAATATAACATAGATATGCATGTATTTGCCAAAGCACAAGTCCCTAATATTTGAAATACGCGTTTTACAAATGTGAGGTGAGGGGGTGAATTAGAGGTGGGGGTAAATTTTGACAAAACCCGAAATTGTATAAAATGCATATAAGTATAGATACATAATTTGAAGACTCTAGCTTTAAAGATGTAGGAGATATAAATTTTTTACTGGTTTTCGATAATGTTTTTAATCGATAACAAAATAACGGGGCAAGTTATCGATATTTAAAACAAAACTCGATATGCGCGTGCTATTCACGGACCTAGGAAAAAAATTTCAAGTCTCTAACTCTTATATCTTCTGAGATCGACGAGTTCAAACATAGGGACAGACGGACAGAGCAAAATCGACTCAGCTCGTCGCCCTGATCAAGAATATATGTATTTACTTTATGGGGTCTGCCACGCCTCCTTCTGCCTGTTACATACATTTAACAAAACCATTATACCCTGATTTCCCATTGAAAATGGGTTCAGGGTATAATAAATAGCAGTGCCCTTCTTATCAGTCGTACTACTGTTGACATCACGTAAATATCACATACATACATACATACATATTCAAAAGGCAAACATACAGCTCAATAAAGTAGAGCAAGTAAAATTTATCAGTGACAGTAAAACGTGCTACTAAACATTATCAAATCAAATTGATAATGTTTTTGCAACAGCTCTCAGCTGTCTGCTTCTAAGCTAAATTATAACCGATAAGAGCGATGGTTAAACAATAAAATGCAATTTTTATGCGTCTCACACTAAGGTGCAACCGGTTGCTCGGCGCTCAGGTTGAAGCCCCCAAAAATGCGATTGTATTCACATATAGAGAAATTCGTATAGGAAGTAAAGGAAAAGAGCATTGCAACTGGGCACAGCTGACTGTGTAATACTCTGTACTCAAGCAGTATGATTGCAGAGCAAAACCAACGAACAGATACAGCACAAAATCAATATACTCTTCCTCATGTTGTGTATGAGTAAAAGAGTAAAAGAGTAAAAGAAGAACCGCATGTGCGTGCGTGTGTGGAATTGCTGACTGTGCAAAATTTGGGAGAGCCGTTCGAATTTAAGCAATGCAAGTGAGCAATGCACTGTGAGAGAGATCACATATACATACACAAATATGCGCTCACTGGAGCGTCGGGACGCGTCGTTGCAGCCAGCGGCATTTCGGCAACTTTGTCGAAAAAGAGAGTGTAATAAATGCGTGAGAGTAGAAAATAGACAATGCGCCCTTGATCGCTGACACAAGCTCAATTTCGAATATTCAGCGGCAGCGCAGTCAACGGCTTTTGGGTTACACTGTGACTGCGACTACATGGCTCTTGTCAGTCGTTTGTCGATTGCGAAGCGTACAAGAGGCTCGTAGTTCGTTTGGTGTTTTAATAATTGTGTTCTCAATAAAGCTCCGCATTTGATTGATTTCTCGAGTGACGCTTCATTCACAAACTCAATTAGCGCAATTTCGTCACAGTTTCGGTTGATACGTTGTAAGTTAATAGCAATTTAGGGACTTTCCATGTAATTTCACACTGCAATTATTTACATAATTTTGAGGCATGCGCAGTGCAAATTGCATCGAAGGTTAAGAATTTGCAACAATTAAATGCAACAAGTGTTATTTTGCAATTTTCTTTGATTAGTTCATTCGTTCGCTAATTTTTTTTTTTTCTTTTACGTTTTTTGTTCTAATTTTAAATTTATCACGCATGCCAACAGAAGCAAAACACATATAAAATAATGCTGCAGTTGCGTTCGCTGGGAGCGCTGCTGCCGCTGCTGCTATTGCTGCAGGAGCACGTTTCTGTGGATGCCGGTCGACCGCTAAAAATTCTGGGCTTGTTCCCCCACCCCGGCGTCAGTCACTTTCACTTCTTTCAACCCATCATGCAAGGTCTGGCCGAGGCAGGGCATGAAGTCAGCGTCGTTAGCCATTTTCCGGCTAAAATTCCAACTGCACGCTACAAGGACTTCCCGCTAACAGGCATAGAGAAGCTGACAAACAGCGTCGACTTGAAGGTAAGCTAGTTAATTTTGATTTTTTTTTTTTTTTTTTTTTTTTTTAAATTCCACGCACAACTATTGTATTTGAGGTGCGTTGCCGGCATAAAGCTCAAGGATTGCCGCCAGCTACGTTTAAAAACAATTGGTGTATGCGCTGGAATTCACTTTCGTTTTTGCGATGTATACCCTGTACGAAATGAAAATAGGCTAATGGGTGTAGTAGATCGTATTTAATTTCTGCCACCTTTGATTGCTTTATGTGCTGAGATTTATTTACATACCCTGTACAAAATTAAAGTAAACTTATGTGAATTTTGGATCATATCAATTATCATATATATAATCCATATCAGCTTGAATAATGACCAAAACGAAGTCTCCATCCATAGCATACACAGATTATATATTGTAAAAATGTATGTCTACGGGGTATCTCCAATTCACACCCAAAACATTTTTATTATAATTTCTTTTTCATTTTACTCTTGAGATTTAATTGCAAATTCATCATGAAAAACCTGAAATCTTAACTTCAGCTGAAAACATTTCCTCTATCTCTCTCCCTCTTTCGTTCCCACTGTCTTTTTACCTCTCACGTTCGCTCACTCTGTTGATCTCTTTCAGTTCTTCGACAAGCGTCCCTTCTATAAGCACTTCATCGAGTTCTTTCTACTCTACGAATGGGGCAAGGAGGCTTGCAATTCGACCTTACGATCGGAGGCTTTGCAGACGGTCATGAAGCGCAAGGCTGGCTACTATGACGTCATTATTTTGGAGCAGTTCAACACTGATTGCATGATGGGCGTGGCACATCAGCTGCAAGCACCAGTTGTTGCCCTAAGCAGTTGCTCCCTGCTGCCGTGGCATTTCGAGCGCATGGGCGCTCCGATAATCCCATCGCATATTCCGGTCTTATTTTTGGGTCAATCGCAGGACATGAACTTTGGCGAACGATTGGCCAACTGGTTTACCTTCCATACGCTCAACTGGATGTACAAGTAGGTGGCCCCATAAGTGAGTGTTGCCAGCAAATCTCATTAGCCTGTTTCCTTTACATTTTTAGGCTCTTATCGGTGCCCGCTGCTGATGCAATGGTTCAGTACAAGTTTGGCCACAATATGCCCTCGGTGGGTGAGCTGGCGAAGAACACCTCCGTTTTGTTTGTGAACACACACTACTCGCTGAGCGGTCCAAAGCCGCTGCCGCCCAACGTCATCGAGCTGGGCGGCATTCACATCCAAAAGGCAAATCCATTGAGCGCTGATCTGCAACGCCTGCTGGACAATGCCGAGCACGGGGTGATACTCATCAGTTGGGGCTCCATGATACGCGCCAATTCATTGTCGCCGGAGAAGCGCGATGGCATTGTGCGTGCCGTGGCCCGTCTCAAGCAGCAGGTCATCTGGAAGTGGGAGAACGAGACGCTCGAGAATAAGCCGCCCAATCTACACATCATGAAATGGCTGCCACAGCGCGACATTCTCTGCCATCCCAATGTGAAGGTCTTCATGACCCATGCCGGCCTCATGGGCAGCTCCGAGGCGGCCTACTGTGGCGTGCCCGTCGTGGCCACGCCCATGTACGGAGATCAGTTTCTGAATGCGGCTGCCCTGGTACAGCGTGACATGGGCGTGCTGCTGCACTACGAGGACATTGGCGAGAATACGGTCATGCGTGCATTGAAGCGAGCGCTAGATAAGAAGTGAGTTGAGATGCCTTGAGATCACTATGACTATCATTCATATATGCTTTCCTTGCTTGCAGACACGTGGATGCTGCCAAGCTCGTCTCGCACTCGTTCAAATATAGACCGCAACAGGCACTGCAGCTGGCCATCTGGTGGGTGGAGCATGTGGCTCACACTGGCGGTGATCCTCTATTGAAATCCAGTGCTGTTGAACTGTCCCGCTTTGTGTACTATTCACTGGACTGTTATGCTGTCGTTGGCCTCATTCTGGCCATGGTAGTTGGCAGTTGGATCGCACTCATACGACTCTGTTGCGGCAAGCAATCCAATAAAAAGAACAAAAGGGATTAAATCGATTCGATCCCTGGCTAAGTCTATGTGATATTTTGTATGTGAACGTCTGTTGTGGTTCTATTATAACTAGTGTAGTAACTCCTGCTTCCAGCTATTCGTTTTGTAGTTTATATATCTTGACCCAAATTGTATATATGTATATGGAATGTAAATTAAAAGTCTAAAACCATATTATAAATTATCAAAATATCATATATATATGTATGTACATTTTGGAAATTTTTGGAATATTATAATATGTAACGCAATGTTTTAAGTTTCCCCATTTGCTGAGGAGTAAAAATGTCAGCAAAGGTATATTTCAAATATACATCTATTAAAAAACTAGCCTTCTCTTATATTGGTTTATAGAAATCCTACTAAGTTAAAATGTTGAAATCTATTTATATGAGAGAACTATTTATATAAGAGAATTATTATAGAGTTCACTTCACTGTATTTATTTTATTTTATTTTCTTTTTTTTTTCTTATCTCTCATCTGGTAGATTTCTCTCCTCTCAAATTTTATTTTTATGTGTGCTCAAAATAATTTTGAGTATTCGCATTCAGTTGTTAAATAGTTTTCGACCCTAGCGAACGTCTGCGTGCGTTTTACGTGCTTAGATTTATATATATTATATATATAATATATAATTCATATAATTTTTTATTTATGTAGAATATATATTGCGAAATTGAAGTTGAAAAAAATGCAAGCAAATTCTATTTGGAAATGTTTGCTGCTGTCTTCGCTGATTGCTGGAAGCAGCCCAGTGGGCGCTCTCAACATCTTGGGTCTCTTCATCCATCCGGCCATCAGCCATTTTCAGTTCTTTCAGCCACTTTTGCGCCGGTTGGCCGAGATCGGTCACAACGTGGATGTCGTCAGCCCATTTCGCGATGCACAGCCCCCAAAGGGCTATACGGACTATACCCTGCCCAGCGTCAATTTGAGCAATCAGCTAGGTTTCGATGTGAGTTGTTGAATATATTATACACATGCATACATTTGCATATATAATACTGATTTATTAGGCGAGTTCTATACGATTAACTTAAGGCCGTCTATATCTCGATTTATTTTATATTCATAGGAGACCAATTGTAACACCGATAGGCAGCTTATCAGTGTCTCATTTAATAGCCGTCACTAACTCAATCAATCTGTTACTCAATCAGCTGGCCAATCAATCAACCAGTCATTCAGACTATTTGTCAATTAACCGACTAGTCAATATATTAGACAATCAGTCAATCAATAAGTCTGACCAGACAGTGACTCAAATGTTCAATCAGCATGCCTTAATAATTTGCAGTCTGTTTAACTGTAATCAATCAATGCATCAGTCAGTCAATCAGTCCATCAATTCTTTCCGCAGATGTTTGAAGATATTCCTATGCCATCTCTATTGCCCTTCGGCGAGTTCTTCATTCTGTACGCCTATGGCAGGGATGCGTGCAATGCAACGCTTCATAGCGAGGCACTAGCCCAGGTGCTCCAACATCCGGCTGGCTATTATGACGTCATCATCATGGAACAATTTAATACGGATTGCATGATGGGCGTGGCTTATCAGCTGCAGACGCCCGTCATCGCCATGAGCAGTTGCGCCCTAATGCCGTGGCATTACGAACGCATGGGCACTCCGATAAAACCATCCTATATCTCGGCTCTGTTTCTGGGCCAGTCCGAGAATATGTCCTTCTCAGGTCGCCTTGGCAACTGGCTGACCACGCACACGCTCAATTGGCTTTATAGGTGAGCAGCAGTTGATTATGGATCAGATAACGGATATAGATTCACTTTCTGCTTGCAGCTTGTTTAATGTGCCCGCTGCTGATGCGTTGCTGCGTGAGAGATTTGGACCCGGCATCCCGAGCACTGGCGAGCTGGTGAAGAACACCTCCCTGATGCTTATCAATCAGCATTTCTCCTTCAGCGGCGCCAAGCCTCTGCCACCGAACGTCATTGAAGTGGGCGGACTGCATCTAAGAGCAGCGAAGCCCTTGGACGCTGCACTGCAGCAGCTGCTGGACAGCGCTGAGCATGGCGTTATACTCATCAGCTGGGGCTCCCAGCTAAGAGCCAACTCGCTGTCCAGCGCTAAGCGTGAGAGTCTCCTTCGCGCCTTGGCCCGTCTGCCGCAGCAGATTATCTGGAAGTGGGAGAACGACACGCTGCCCAATCAACCAGCCAACGTGCACATCATGAAGTGGCTTCCCCAGCGCGATATCTTAGCGCATCCCAATTTGCGCGTATTCTTCAGCCATGGCGGCCTGATGGGTCTCACGGAGGCCGTCGCCAGCGGCGTGCCTGTGGTGGGCATGCCAGTCTATGGTGATCAGTACTTGAATGTGGCGGCTCTTGTGCAACGCGGCATGGCTGTGCGTGTGGACCTCAGGCAGTTCAGCGAACAGACCGTATTTGACGCACTCACCCAGGCCCTGGATCCTAGCTACAAGCAGCAGGCCAAAAAGGTTGCCGCTGCCTACAACGAACGTCCGCAATTGGCGATGGATAACGCTCTCTGGTGGGTACACCATGTGGCTGAGACACGCGGTGCTCCACTGCTGCGGTCCAGTGCTGCTAAGCTCAATCGCTTTGTCTACTATTCGCTGGATGTCTATGTGACAATTGGGGCTGCTCTGTTATTGCTCCTGGTCGTCGCTCTTAAAATCTGGCGTATATGCTGCGGACGGAAGCGGCAACTGTCGAAAGCTAAGCGCAGTTAGTTAAAAGAAGAAAAATCACTTAATACTCTATGAAGCTCAACGAACTAAGAAACCGTTAATATCTCAGCATGAACTGTACTTCATTTCATCGATAAAAGTGCGGGCGATTTCAAATCTGTGGATAGTTCAATAGAACAATTTCACAAATACTAATCGATTATTTACATTAAGTACTGCTTGACAAGCAGTTCAAAAGTTTTACGAGTGCGTACGATTATCGCTTGGTATTTTGCTTATGAATATTTAAGTATTTTTTCCCTTTGGCACTTTCTATACCTTTTAAATTATCAAAGCTACTTGAACTTCGATTTCAAACTTAAATTTATATACAAAATACGTATTTAATAAAGAACAGCTCAAAATATTCAATAATTATAGCCGAATATTTTAAAGCTCAAAGTTGTTTCAAAATAAAAAATACAAATTCATATACATATTTACATAAGCAACAAATACATTATTTACAACTTTGCTTTGGACGCACCAGGGAAGCCCAGACGATATAGAGTTACCACAACGGCACCACCCAGCCCCAGATTATGTTGCAGGGCCAACTTGACATTAGGCACCTGCCGCTTCTCGGCCAAACCACGCAGCTGCCAGCACAGCTCGGCGCACTGAGCCAAGCCTGTGGCGCCCAAGGGATGTCCCTTGGAGATAAGTCCTCCACTGGGATTGATCACAAATTTTCCGCCATACGTGTTGTCTCCATTATCGATAAACTCGCCAGCCTTGCCCTCACCACACAGACCCAAGGCCTCATAGGTGATCAGCTCATTGGCCGAGAAGCAATCATGCAGCTCCACGACCTGCACATCCTGTGGCTTGAAACCGCTCTTGGCGAAAAGGCGTTGAGCGGCAAGGCGAGTCATGTCATAGCCGGCAATCTTCATGAGGCTCTTGTCAGCAAAGGTCGACTCGGGATCGCTGGCCATCTCCATGCCCACAATCTCGACGGCTTGCTTTTCCAGACCATGACGACGCACGAATTGCTCGGAGGCCAGAATTGCAGCACCCGAGCCATCCGAAGTTGGACAGCACTGCAGCTTGGTGAGCACACCCTCAACCACCTGAGGCGACTTCATAATCTGCTCCAGGCTGTATTCATCGCGGAACTGGGAGTATCTACAACAACAGGAGGAGAGAGGCGACAGATTAAGATAAGACTGACTGCACCACTCGTCTATCAAATGGATGGCCAATGTTCAGTGTGAGGATGGCCCCACGATAAGCGATACCAGATAAGATAAGCGCCTTCGTCTATTATGGCATTGAACTTTCGACTGAGCGTTAATCAATTCATATAGAACTTACGGATTATTAACCGAATGCTTATGATTCTTCCAGGCAATCTTTCCGAAGTGTTCCGGCTTGGTGCCGTACTTCTTCATGTGCTCCTTGCCAGCATTGCCAAAGATCTGGGCAGCCATTGGTCCAGGTCCGATCTCTGTTAGTTCTCCCATTTCGGTAATGTGACGCTCCATGGGATTGGCACGATCAAAGTACTAGCAATAAAGATAATGTTATGGATGACATTGTATGGGGATGAAAGTTTCCTCTAGCTACCTTTGACGCCAACGAGCCACGCTCCATTTTCTCAAATCCCAGAGCTAGGACACAGTCCGCGTTGCCCGACTCGATGATCTGCTTGCCCAGATACAGGGCACTCGAGCCCGTGGAGCAGTTGTTGTTCACATTGTAGACGGGAATGCCAGTCATGCCCACCTCATAGACCGCACGCTGACCGCAGGTGGAGTCGCCGTAGACATAGCCCACAACAGCCTGTTGCACCTCTTCGTACTTAATGTTGGCATCCTGGAGAGCCTTGGTAACTGCTTCCTTGGCAAAGTCGGGGTAGCAAACATCAGCGCGGCGACCTGGTTTCTCGAACTAACAGTCGAAAGTCGGTTACAATTGGAGACAAAGGTCACTTCCCTGATACGAACCTTGGTCATGCCAACGCCGATAACATAAACTCTTGTCTTAGTCATTTTGATGCGCTTCTATTGTGGTAGGCGTCCGCGAAGAAACTGTTCGACACATTTTCAGTTGGGCGCGAATTCACTTCAGTGTACATGGAATCAGTTCAATTGAGTTGCTCCATAATTTTTAACAAGTTCAATTTTAAAGTTATTTAGTGTGGAATGTGATTCCTTTCGAATTTAGTATTTAATTATTATTTACGAAATTTATGGCTGAAGCTAAGTTGCTCACGCCAGAATAACTAGTTTAACCAATCTTCAAGTTTAAATGTATAAAAAATTAACTGGGTCGCAAGGTAATCTTAATTATTGCAGCTATATATCGGAACTTTAATTTATTCTAAATCGATACTTTGTTAATATATTTTATTTCGTTACGCAAGTTGCGATAAGCAGTGCAAACATTTTGTAAATACCTAAACATATCGATATTGTCATCGATAGTTTTGTTTAGCTTACCAGCGAACTTGTTTTGTGGTCTTCAGCTAATGTTTAGTAATTGATTAAAGCCGAGTCGTAGCGGTTTAGCTTGTAGTCCATCTAAAGAATAATACTTGAACTCACAATGACCCAGACCCGAGTGTATGTAGTTGGTGTTGGCATGACCAAGGTAAATATCATTATGTAGTATTACTACCTACATATGTATGTAAAAACAGGTGCAACAAAGAAAAGATGATCTCAAAGAAGCTGCCACAACCAGTTGCTCCATGCTCCTCCCCCTTTCCCAATTGTAATTATCGCACTCGGACTTTGAACTACAGTGCACTTCGATCATTAAAGAAATCGAAATCTTGTTGCTGCGCAATCTAATTTCCATGTTTTGTTATTACTATCTAAAATATTCGGATTAAAGGTTGTTCGTCTATAAATAAAAGCTTTTGACTCTTTCAACAGTTCGAGAAACCTGGTCGCCGCACCGATATTTGCTACCCGGACTTTGCCAAAGAGGCTGTCACTAAAGCTCTCCAGGATGCCAAGCTCCAGTATACGGATGTGCAACAGGCTGTTGTGGGCTATGTCTACGGCGACTCCACCTGCGGTCAGCGTGCGGTCTATGAGGTGGGCATGACTGGCATTCCCGTCTACAATGTGAACAACAACTGCTCCACGGGCTCGAGTGCCCTGTATCTGGGCAAGCAGATCATCGAGTCGGGCAACGCAGACTGTGTCCTGGCCCTGGGATTTGAGAAAATGGAGCGTGGCTCGTTGGCGTCAAAGGTAGCTAAAGTGATGTTTTAATCCTTTATATCTTTCATAACATTATTGTTTTTTATAGTACTTTGATCGTGCCAATCCCATGGAGCGTCACATTACCGAAATGGGAGAACTAACAGAGATCGGACCTGGACCAATGGCTGCCCAGATCTTTGGCAATGCTGGCAAGGAGCACATGAAGAAGTACGGCACCAAGCCGGAACACTTCGGAAAGATTGCCTGGAAGAATCACAAGCACTCGGTTAATAATCCGTAAGTGCCCTTGTTCAATTGATATGAGGCGTTTTAAAGTTTAATGTGTTGCATATACTCATCTAATCTTTCTTATGATTAGATACTCACAATTCCGCGACGAATACACCCTAGAGCAGATTATGAAGTCTCCGCAGGTGGTGGAAGGTGTGCTCACCAAGCTGCAGTGCTGTCCCACTTCGGATGGCTCGGGTGCTGCAATTCTGGCCTCCGAGCAATTCGTGCGTCGCCATGGTCTGGAAAAGCAAGCTGTCGAGATTGTGGGCATGGAGATGGCCAGCGATCCCGAGTCGACCTTTGCTGACAAGAGCCTCATGAAGATTGCCGGCTATGACATGACTCGCCTTGCCGCTCAACGCCTTTTCGCCAAGAGCGGTTTCAAGCCACAGGATGTGCAGGTTGTGGAGCTGCATGATTGCTTCTCGGCCAATGAGCTGATCACCTATGAGGCCTTGGGTCTGTGTGGTGAGGGCAAGGCTGGCGAGTTTATCGATAATGGAGACAACACGTATGGCGGAAAATTTGTGATCAATCCCAGTGGAGGACTCATCTCCAAGGGACATCCCTTGGGCGCCACAGGCTTGGCTCAGTGCGCCGAGCTGTGCTGGCAGCTGCGTGGTTTGGCCGAGAAGCGGCAGGTGCCTAATGTCAAGTTGGCCCTGCAACATAATCTGGGTCTGGGTGGTGCCGTTGTGGTGGCCCTTTATCGCTTGGGTTTCCCGGGTGCCGGTGGTGTGAAGCAGAACAAGACAGCTGGCGCAAAGAACGCAACCAGCGAGGAGGGCTTCAAAGTGTCGCCGCTGCTTAAGCTGCTCGAACAGGCCATGCAAGAAGACCAAGACAATCTAATTGAAAAGGTGCGTGCTGTGTATGGCTTCAGGGTGAACAATGGACCCCAAGGTCAGACCGGTTTCTGGGTAATTGATGCTAAGCAAGGCAAGGGCAAGGTTATCTTCAACGGAACGCGTAAGTCAATACATACTAAGAAATCCGAATAGCTAATTGAGTTAATGAATTATAATTGCAGAAAAATGCGATGTTACCTTTATAATCAGCGACGATGATGTGTACGAGCTGTTATTGGGCAAACTGCCACCACAGAAGGCCTTCTTCCAGGGCAAGATCAAGATTCAGGGCAACATGGGCTTCGCCATGAAGTTGTTGGACTTGCAACGCTCAGCGCAGGGTCGCATCCAGGAGCTGCGCTCCAAGCTTTAAGAATTCCATTGATATTTGCAATTAATTTTAGGTGGGCTTTTTTAAAAGGGATTATATACATATATAAATATTATTCATTTTTGATACTGATGTATTATTTGTAGCAATTATATTTCATTTTGATATTGTTTTTAAAATGTCATTGATATCTTATACTCGTCTTAAAATATGTAATAGTAAGTGAAAAGGATATAGATCAATGATACAAAATGTTTTTAAGAATTTGTATATCCCATAAATAACTGTTATTGCTTCTCGGATAGATCATCACAATTTGTCTATTAAATTTTATACTATACAAAAAATAAAAACAGTTTGTGTTGATTTTTTGTACGATCCGAATCTTTATTGTTTCTTCAACGTGCATTGGTTTTAAAAACTACATTTATATGTGTGGTATATATATATATATATATATATATATATATATATATCATAATTATCGATATATATATGTGTGTGTGTGTGTGAATGTGCTTGCAAAACACGTTTCAAAAATGTCGTTAGGAAAAACACAAAATTTAAAACAACTGGGCGCTTTTTGCACTTTAGATTGACTTGTAAAAATACACGGCCAATGTGCGCGCAATCTATGCTAATATACAAATCTATATATGTATATAAATATATGTATATATAGATATATATGTGGATCTGCTTATTCTATTATATATATCAAGTTCTCTAACTGTTGCCAATGTGTGTGTACCTTATAGTGCCTGCGAAAATAAATTAAAAATCTACGTATCTAAAAAGTATTTTTAGCATTTTTATGAGCTTAATTAACTACAGTTACCAAATATAATAATATGTGCAGGCAAGTTGATGTTCGGCTTATACGAACGAACCTTAGCCCCAGTTTTGCTATATACAAAAAACGATATTCGGGCCAACTTTTAAAGCTCGCGCTTGCGTTAGACGCCAAAAACGTGGCCTTATCCAAACAATTAAAAAAAAAAAAAACAATTTCCAACAATTTTGTCTTCTTCGTTATATAGCTGCAATAATTAGATTGGCGATGCTGGGGAACACATCGCCTGGAGAAGCCTCTGGGCAACAGGCAACGCACTTTCAGTAGCTGTTATTGGAGTTGGCATAGGAAGATAGTGAAGGCTTCGCTGTGCCTGCCGTGCTACTGGCGGCAGCTGAGGCGCCTGCCGTGGATGCAGTCGCTACTGCTGCTGATGTGGAGCCGCTGCTTGAGCTTGTGGAGTTCGTGATACTGGGCTTATTGTCCATGCTGGCCATTATGGAGCCAAGCAGATCAACTGGCGACACGCTTTTGGTCTTGGCTGAACCTCTGCTACCGGCCAATATAATCTTGTGCGAGGGCAAGGTGAACGTTTTGTAGGTGGTGGTGGTGCTACTGGGGGTGGTGCTGGAGGTGGTGCTATTGCTGCTGTTGCTGTTGTTGCTGGTCGCAGTTGTTGCCTTCTGACTGATTTGGCCTTTGGCTGGTGGTGGTGGCGGCGGCGGAGGTGGTGGCAATGGCGTAGGAGGGAGAGGTGGTGTTAAAACCACCGCCGATAGGCGACCCACTAGCGGCGTCAGCGATGCAGCGGGCAGCATCACCTTAACAACTTGTGATGACGCTGCTCCGATTGGGGCCGTGGGCACTGGTGGCGGCGTTAGACGCACAACTGGTAATGTGGACGGCGGCAGAGGTGCGGCCGTGGGTGTCGGTGTAGGTGCAGGAGCTGTTGTCACTGTTGGAGCTGTTTCCAATGGAATTACTTCCTCACACATTTCAGTTACCTCCTCCTCGTGATCCACCACCAGTTGAGGCGTGCTCTCCACAATGAGCTCACTGCCCACATCTTCGACCGGGTTGGGCGCCGGCGAGGCTGGCGCTATGCAGTTGGGGATTTCAGGTTTGCTGACGCTTGCCGTTGTCGTTGTAGTGGGCTTATCGGATACCATTTTGAGCTGTATTTTGATTTCGGGCTCCTTTTGATTTAAACTATTTACATAAGCTTCACGGTGCGTGAACGGCGTCGGAGGCACAGGAGGCAGCGGCGGCAGCAAGGCTGGCGTTAGGGCTGGGGGAGCATGAACTGGAGGAACTGGGGGAGCTGCACTGGGAGCAGTAACGGACGTGCCACTTGCCAATATTGATACGGCTGTCTCGTTTTCTAGACGCGGCACTTTAGCTGGCGTAGCTGAAGGCGATGCCAGCTCTGGTTTATGCTCCACCTTTTTGTTACGCGCCTTATCCTTATCCTTGTCCTTGTCCTTGTTCTTGTCCTTGTCCTTATCCTTATCCATAGCTTTCTCTTTATCTTTATCTTTATCCTTGTCTTTGTCTTTGTCTTTATCACGATTAGACTTCTCCCGATCCTTGCTGCAAGGCTTACGATCCTTATCGAGTGACGTGGCCGCCGCTTTGGTCTGCTTATATGTGTGCTCCAGCACCATTTTGCGCATATCTATCTTGGAGTCATCCTTGTTCGCCCTCTTTTTGGGTGTGCTGTTGTTGTTGTTGTTGTTGGTGCTGCTGCTGCTATTATTGTTACTGTTGTTAGTCTGACGCGTGGGCGAGGCACTCGCCGACGAAACATGATCATCTTGGCTGCTTTCGCTGGAACGGCGATCTCTGCCATCCATGTCAATAACCTTACGCTTGGCTTTGCCGTCGTGAGTACGCTTCGAGGGCGTCTTCTTGCCAGGCTCATCGTGGCCAACGGGATGGGGCAATATGGTTTGTTTCTCCTTATAATGCGGCGTCTCGGCCAGCACTGGATTGTTCTTCTCATTGATTACCTCCTGGCCGGGATAATACTGTCGCAAACGCAGATGCCAAGCTACGATGGAGGAGCGAATTAATTAAATTGAATTAATTAAATAGTTAAGGATGAATTACCTATGCTTGTCACAGCCGTCACGGTGCGGAACTGGTGTATAATGTTGCGTGGCAGAAAGTAGATATCATTGTCACAGAGCTGGATGCGCGCATAGCGAATGCCATCTCGACGTAGCTGATTCAGTTTGGCATCCTCGATCCATTGCACGCACTGCGATATGGGTGGCTCGTGGAGATCCAGCTGTAGCATCTCCACCAGCGTATTAAAGTCCTGAGCGGCAAAGGCAACCACATCTTTGGTGATGCGATTCTGGCTATAAGATTGTCCACAGTGCACAGCCTTGAGAATGCCTGAAATAGATTCGGGAATTCAGATTGAATTCGAATTGTTGAAGCAGAGAAGGGAAAGGAAGGGTTCTGGAGAAAAACATTTTCTTTATATATAGCTCACCAACTGCGGCGGTAGTGATGCGCTCGTGTCCGTGGCCGACATGATCCGCGTGCGCCTTAGTTCGATCCTCAATCATGGTCTCGCGTGCCTCAGATAAACGCGGCAGATACTGCAAATTGCGCAGCTCATTAATTCGCGTGCTGCAGCAAGAAATTGCAATATTAATTATCAATTATAAAATAAGAGTAATCTAAACAAAATATCGCCGAGATGGGATTAGTTTTTAGTAATAAATATTAATATACAAATGTGACTATACTAATATATAAATAAATGTAATTGTATTTATTTTATTTACTATAAGAAAATTAAAACTAATATGTGCAATTTTTTTTTATCAAATATAGTAGTATTTATTGTATAATTAATATGTTTATTATTACAAATGAAGGGGAACAATAATGGGTTTTTATTAGAAACACTTTTAAGCGTTTAGTTGGGTTAGTTGGTGAGTTAAATAAAAAATTAAATATAAATATATAAAGAAATGCAATTTAGCTTTCGAACCAAATATTTTTAGATTTTAGTGGGGTTAATTGGTGAATTAAATAAATATATGTATAGAAACAAATGTAAAAGCTTACCGCTGTCGCTTGAGGGGGGTCTTACTATTCAGCTCCGCCGTGGGCACAAGTTGCTCGCCCGCACGAATCCATAAAATGGGTCCATCGTTTGATTGACGCGGATCCGTTTGGAGTATAGAATTCACACCCCAGGGCATTGTCTGAAATATATAGTACATGAATCAGTTGATGTACGCCAGTTAGGCATTTATTTAGTATTTACCTTGCGCAAAAATGGATTCTGTTCGATGCGTCCCAGCAGATCCGGGAAGTAGCCGCCCACCTCCTCGTGCACCTTGCCCACTAATGAGATCTGATGCAGTGGTCCATAGCGAAACGTGCCCTGGCAATAGTTGCGCACTACCTGCAATCAAATGAAATTAATAATAAATAATTCCATTAGCTGTTGGTCAGTGTCGCCGTCACCTGTTCATTGTACTGGGCCATGGTACATGTCTCAATGTCCGAGTTGCGGCCAAGCACGCCCGCCTTTACCGTTAACGTTGAATAATTCTCGGCCATATGCTCCAGTAGATCGGGTATATAGCGAGCGGCATCGTGTACAATGCCCATCACATGGTACGCGTAGCCCTGCTCGTCCTCGGCAAAGCATACGCTGAAGAACTCATCCACCAGCTGTTCCATTTCATCCGGCGACAGTGCATCGATTTCGTGCTGGTAGAGATGCACCACCGATGCACCGCCATTCGGATACTGTTCCACTTGAAAGTAATGACCGTATTTGAGATTTTCAAGACCGGCGGGCGCTTTGCGGTTGCCCGTCGGCGTGGGCAGGCAATTCGTTTGCCAGGGGCCAGCAGCAGGCGGGTGCTGAATGCATTGAACGCCGACGCTACTGCGACGAATCTTGGAGCGTTTGTAGCATTTGGAGCAGTCCCGCGACGAGAACGATGACGAATGCCGTGATGATGACGAGGAGGAGGACGAGGAAGATGAAGTCTTGTGATGACTGCTCGTCGAATTACTGGACGACGAGGAGGATGATTTACGCGCGCTACAATTCGAGGAGGAATGATGATTGGCGCTGCTACTGCTGCCACTGTTGCTGCTGTTGGTAGTTTTTGGAGCCGGCGATGGCATTAATAGTGATGACGCTGAATTACTGTAGCTGCTGTTGCAATTGTTCTCCTTGGGCTTGCTACCATCGGAGCTGAAGCTCAACTGTCGCGTGACCTCGTCGCGTGTCTTCAACTGTTTGATCACATCGCCATTTAGCAATGGCTTCGTTTCCACTGATTCCTTTTTGATTTCGTTTTCAATTTTGATAGCCTTACAGTGGTTAAGTACCGTCAAAGCGGCAGACTCTTTCTGCGGCTCCTCTATTTTGATTTGTGTCTCTATTATACTGGGTACCACAACAGATTTCTTCTCCTGTTCCGCTTCTCGCTCTTTCTCCTTATCCTTCTTTTCCTCTTTAATGACCACAAACTTGCTGGAACTGTTGTTGCTGCTGCTGCGACTGCTGTCCGAGCTACGGCGACGATCCGAGTGCGAGGTCGATGAGCAACTGGACGATGACGATGGTATCTGTTAGTAAGAATTGTTATTATTATTTACTGTATTCTAAAACAGTTGTAGTTCATTATGAGTAACTATCTTTTGCACATCATTATAAATGCAGCAATAGGATTTGCCAACAATAGTTGATTATTTCAAGTTCCCTTACGAATTTCTTAACTTTAGATAGTTTGATTCCAATTACCTTCTCCCTCTCGCGATCCCGCTCTCTGTCCCGATCGCTTCTATGTTGCTTCTTGTCTTTGCTGCGCGAGGCGGTGGAGGAGGAGGAACTGGAACTTGACTTGTAGTCGCTGTTGTGTCGATTTGAATAGGATTTGCTATTGCTGTTGCTGCTGCTGCTGCTGCTGCTGATACCACTGCTGCTCTTTAGGCTTTGGCTTTCACGATCCTTGGAGGTGCTGCCACTGCCGTTGCTGCTGGTTGTGTGTCGCTTATCTTCATCTCGCTCACGTTCCTTATCTTTTTTCTTCTTCTTGTGATTGCGCTCAGCTGAAAGACAGAAAAAAGAGTACATCAGTAAAGGCGGCGAGGGAGGCGAAAGAAAAGCTCTTGGCAGCTCTGCCTACCCGTTTTATTGCTGTCCGATTCGGCGGCTGTCGCTGCCGGCGTCGCTGCTGCCGTAACTTTGACACAGTTCGTTGTTATTTCATTTGTTGTTGCTACTGCTGCTGCTGTTGTTTCTGTTGTAGTTTTTGTTGCTGTTGTTGTTGTGGTATTTGCATTGCCATCGCCTGACAGCTGCTCTTTTTGTTGTTTAGTTTTAGCACTGCTCTCGTTGTTGTTGTTGTTATTATTGTTGTTGTTCATGTGGTGGTGCTCGGCGCTCACCATTGTGGCCCCTTCCTCGTTCTCCAATTGCGACTTGTTGTAGTTGTTTGCTATTGTCGATGACGCCGCAGCAACTGCTGCTGTTGCGCTGCTTATCAATGTCTGTGTGTGTGCATATATATATATATATATATGCATATGCACATGTATGTGTGTGTGTGTGTGTAAAGGTGGAATGGATAAGAAAAGTATTAGGCGCAAAATTTCGGGCTGCAGATTACGATATATGACGTCGTTGTATTCAACGATGTTTACAAGAACATTCGACACTTACCGCTGTCTCGGCTACTGCTACGACATTTGTTGTGGCGCGGGCGGTGTCCTGGCACATGGCGGGTAGCGGCATAATATTATTTTCGCCATCAGCGCCGCCGCCTTCTAATGTGTTTTCCATACTGTTTGTACTGGTGGGTGTTCGTGTTGGTTTGTGTATATGTGTGCGTGTGTGTTGTGTATATGAGTTAGTGTGAATATCGATTTGCAAGTAGCTTGCCGTCTACGTGACGCTGCTCAGGAAGCTATCTAAAACTCACGAGCAATTTGTTGCTGTTGTTTGTCGCTCACTTGCACTTGCATTTGTATTGGTGGCCGGGCGATTTCGCGTATCTAAACGCTTGCTCAATTTTTAATAACAATTTTGCGTTTTCGTTCTACAACGAACCGTCGTCGTACGTCGTGCATTCATTGTTTGCCTTGCCGATAATTTAGGGTTGTCGCATCTTCCTCGACTGGCTATGCATCGATGGGTCCGTCGCGTGCGTGTATTATAATGTTAGACGATATATCGATAAGTTTTTCTCGGAACAGCATCTTCAAATCAGTGTGAAAATTCGGTCAATTATCTAGTTTTAATTTCGTTATCGGAATTTTTCGTTTTGAAAAATTTCAAATATACTGCAATAAAAAACTTTTTTGCAAATGATTTGCTGCATAGATTAAGAATCAAATCATAATATGTATATTTATTATTTTACTTAGACATTGAAACATAGAAAAATACATTTATGTGTATACTTATGTGAACTCATATTATATATTTAATATTATAATAAAATTTAATATTTATTGCGATGCCTTCTTTATTTTTAACAGCTTAAATACACGAACTCTAAGTTAGATACACCAACTCAATAATCGATAACGATAGCAAGCAGAATACGTTAAACTGCAGTTAAATTCAAATGTTAGGTACAGAAAAAACCAATTGTGTTTTGTGTTGTGTAGAAAATATATTAACCGGTAAAGATTTTACTTTGATTTTGTAGAATTCAACGTGTGTTTAAAAGACTGGAGTTAGTATAGTTACTGTTATCATGTGCACCAATACGAATTAACAAATAGACAATGGATTCTTGGCGCAGAGTCGCTGATTGAACTTATGGTCAGCCTTCCGGTGTCAATGATGTGATGCTTTAAAGGCCATGGCTGCTTGCAAAGCTGCATGACTACTCTCAGCTGCCTTAATGAGCGGCAAATTGGTCGGGTTATCCAGAATTTCATCCTTTTTCACATGCAGCATATCGATCTCAGTGAGAGCTACATTTGGTTCCTAAGACATTGCAATAGAAAATAATAATCTAAATTATTTCATAACAATCGCAACACTTACCTTCTCCATCGCTGCTTCGGAGACCTGCAAATGATATTTATCCTTGCAGAAGCGCGACAATAATGCAATGCCCTGTTCACGATTCTTGGCGTACTTGGTCTCCCAAGCATCTAGTAAGCGGTTATAGTAGCGCGCATTTTCAAAATAAGGTAGAAAAACGTGTGTGCCCAGCGTTGGAAAGACGCGCTCCAGTGGCTTACACCGAGCCAGCTCATCTTCGGCAATAATAAGGCATCGAACATCATCTGGCAGCAGATTGTCCAATATGGTATCCACATATTCCTCACGAAACTCAATGGCACGACTGGTGAAGTGGTTATGCTTACGCACCTCTTCGGCTGTTAGGCAGGTGGTAAAGATTCGTTTGTCGTGGACCAGCGGTCCCTGCATCTGCAGCTCCTCCAGTATCTCCTGCTGCTGGCGTTCGTTCAGCTTGGGCGGCACTTGATATAGAGCCGTATTCAATACGGCCTGGATTAACGGTCCCTTCACGTGCAAATCGAGCGGCAGCTCCGAGTGCAGTGATGGTGATATGTTAATCTCGAGCAACCAAGGCACCAAGTTTTCATCGAGCAACACATCGAATCCGAACAGCTCATAACAGTTGTAACGGAAATTCACGTTTTGCCGATACATACGATTCAAGCCCGATTCGCCGCTGACTATGCCGCGGATAACCAGATTACGTAGTGTTGCCCATAAGCGTTTCGTATTGACACCACGATTCTCTAGGCAGGACCACAGAGATTGCAGTGTCCATTTGTGTCCTTGACACGCATTGAAATCCTCGTTCTTAGTATAATTTTGTGAAAACTTATTTATACTATAGTTCGTCAGATGCATACAGCGCTCATCCAGATTGCCCAACTCCGAGCTGTATTTGACGGAGGCGAATCTCGCTAAGCCATCCTTGAACATATAGATGCGCAGCGGGTTAATGGAGGTCAGCACCACATACAGTCGCATGTCAAACTTGTTGTCATTGATTAGCAACGGTCGTTCAATATACTTCTGCACCACCAATGGGCGATCCTTGGGGAATTGACTCCACTTGTTCACAATGCGTATGCCAGTGCCGCGCGCACTCGCCGGTGGCTTCACAATCCATTTGGTCAGCTTTGAAGCGTTCTTTGGCCACACTTGACGCAGATGTTCCAAATCATCAGGCATTATATACGATCTGTCGAGGTAGAACATAGCCTTATTAGCTTGGATTTCTTAGTCTTCTATTTAATTTACTTACTTTTGCATGATTCCAAATTCCTTTTTACCGAATTTCTTCATATTGTTTGCAATGCTGCGCCACATTGTATCCTTACGACCAATACGAAATGAGCCGGGCATATGGTTATATTTCTGATGCGAACGTATCGTACGGAAGCCTGGACTCTTCATATGCTTCTCCCACACGGCCATCCAGTCTGTGGTATCTGTTCAAGAATATTTATATTTGATGAATAAATGTTAAATTTTGTAATCTATTTTGTACTATTCATTAAGTCTGGCCATTTAGAGTACCTCTAACGGATCTACTTACTTTTGATAATGCGAAAGCCAGAATTCAGTACCACGCGCTTCACAATCTTTGGCATGACCGGACTGAGTTTCCATTTGAGCACACGATGCAGTGCAGCCGGCATGGGTGGGCCCTTATCGGCATGTGATGTGAAATTTAAATAGGGAGGCACATTTGGGAATAGACTCGGCGATAATATAGAATCCGGCTTGAAGTATACAGATACTTCGGAGTCTGTGGTGGTTGTCGTTGCCACCGATGTCTTGGATGGTCCCTTTTCCAGTTTAAGTCGTATATGACGGCTTTGGCTAGTCTCATCGTTATCATCCTCCAGATAAAACGGTGTGCCCACATAGTCCTCATCCGAATCCGAATCGTCATAGCTAGTAATTTCGTCAATTGCTGCAAAGAGCACAATTGGTTAATCATAAAATATTCCATTCAAATATGGATATATATCTATATAGATTTGTCGCTCTTACCACCGCAGGGATCATCATCGTTTTGCCGTCCTTCATGGTTGATGCTAACGCATTTGTTCAAGGAGACGCCCATGTAGTTGCTCGAATGCTCACCGGATGCGATCCGTGAGTTCAGGCATTGGAATGGCATCTGTGATGGCTGAGCATAGAGCGATGCATAGAGCGACGTTTCCAGGGCCGAGGCAGCCGATTTGGTCAGGCCGTTTTGGGTAAGTATTTTACTCTTCTCGTCATGCTGCTGTCCATTCAGCATGCTGCTGCCATGGAACGTATTCACAACAATCTTGCTGGCCGCCTTAATTGTCGTGGCACTCGAGCTGTGGGCCATTCCTCCCCGAGGTGGACTTGGACAGCCCGTGTTATTGGAGCGCTTGCTGTTGTTGCTGTTGTTGGCACTGCTGTTCGTTGAATTCTTGGCAAGCGCATCCTCTCGAGCACGCTTCAAGAGCATCTGTGTGTTAGCATTTGGCAGCCGAAAAAGCACAGCGGGGGGAGCACACGCACAGGAAACAGGCAACAGACAAGGGGGGAAAGGTAAGCAGGCAGCATGTTGAATGATCAAAACAGATAAAAATATATTCAGCAAGCCGAACATAGTTGAATGCATTCACGAGTATATATATAAATCAAGGATATAGTGGATGAATTGTTAGTCTAACTGCGGCGATCTATGAAAGGTATTAAGATCATATAGATCTTTGTAGATCTATGGAAGGGTGAGAATATTGATCCATAAAGCTCACATAGGATTAGTATATAATATAATATTTTCTTTGACAGTTCATTTAGTATGAACTATAAGACATTCGGACTTAGAGAGATATACAACAGATCATTAAACGTTAGCTTTAGCAATGACCTTCGGGTAAGATCTTTGTTAGTGTAGTATGACGGTTTTGGATGGTTTCGATTATAATATCTTATGATATAGTAACACATGAAAGGAGGGATTATAATATGATATTATTTATATTATAAAGCAGTAGTATTGCAGCGTAACTAGTTAAATATATGGCATAGATCTTTTGGATTTAGTAAGACAAAATACAGATACATAAATATATATATAAATGGCGATTACATATATATCAAAGGAAATTACATTTCGCTTTAGATTTAGTCTACGCACCTGGACTTTCTTATACGGCTCTGATTGAAGGACACCAACAACAGGAGCTGGCACAGAGTTCAACTTCGGCAGGATGCGGGTCGTCATTGACTTGACGGGCTGAGCTGAGCTGGCAATGGCTGCATTTGAAGCATCCGACAACTTTGATCGTCTGTGGGCCAGATGCGACGTCTTCTGTATTTGTCCCTTAATCAACTTGGTAGCGGCAGCGGCAGTTGATGCCGTAGCGGCGGTTGTTACGGCTGCTGCTGCGGCGGCCGCATGGGTGGCACTGGCCACGGGCGAGGAATGGCCAGCCACACTCCGCGTGTGTGGGGACAGTCGGGTTGGATTAAAGGGGCTATAGTTGTGGGATTGATGCGATGATTGGTGTGACGATTGATGTGCGGATGATTGGTGATTGTGTTGAGACAGCTGCTTGCACATCACCAGCTTGTCCTTGTAGAGTTCGACCTCTTCTAGCCAGGATTCATGGAAATCTAAAATTTCAATGCCCTTGCCACGGGTCTGTGATGTATGATGTCTGGCCGTGTTCTCCTTTGTGGCAGAGGCAGTGGCCGATGCAACATTACCTGATGTTGTATGTGGACGCATCGTCGGCGTTGACCTTTTATCAGTTGTGATCTGTGCCATAGGTTTTTCACAGAAAATTTTGGATAACTGCAAGTGGGAAAGCCAAAATAAATACATATCTCCAAATAGCAGAAACTTTGCAAATCTCTGTTTGCATTATGTGATGAGCGCCATTACTTCAGCTAACTGATTGTGTGTGATGCTGCTGCTGCCGCGGCACGTTGTCAATGGCTGCTATTTTCGATATGGCACAGCACCAAGATCAATCGACAGACGCCCCGACGCGTCGCATAGTCCGCTATGGTTGCGTTCGCTGGTCTCGTTTATAGACTATTTAATTAGACGCGTATCAATGGAATCAAGATCGCTGGGCGCTGGCCAAATCAAATAATAAGAGAGAAACTAATACACAATTAACGCAACAATTGACTCTAGCGCGCCTTTCAAAATGCAAATTCAAAGCGCGCGCAATTTCTTCCTGCTGTTGTTGTTTTTGCTTCTATATTTTTAACTGTTGTTGTTGTTGTTGGTTTTTGAGCAGCCGGCGTGGCGCTGTTTTTGTGAATATCTTGTGATATCTTGTCACACTCACCTTTTACATTTACACGCGCACAATTAATTTTGTTAGTATAGTCGAGCAAGCAAACCGAAAATATGCTTGCGTTTTATTAATTAGATTACTAGATCGAAAATACGAATTTTTATTTATTTTCAAACATAAAGCCGGACGACTTAAGACAACAACAAGCTGAAACGAAGTGACCGAGCAGCCTAAACTATAATAATACCAAAATACATAAAATACTAACGGTGATGCTTGAAAGCAATGTAGCCCAACGCAAAGTGTGGCCAAGCAACCAGTGCTGTAGAACAATATTTTACATACGTTGGCGCCCATTTAAATATAAATTTTATGCCATGCTTGGGGAAATTTTACTAAACAAACCTCTTGAGTGGTATAACAACTTAAATAAACAGCAAAGTATTATAGCATAATTATGTTGAGTATATGTTAATTTAATGGGTCATAAATTCCTTTCGGCTGCAACTTGCAAACACGTAAATCAGTCAGGTTTAATGTCAGCGCCTACCTGTAATGCACACACAATGGACACAAACACATAAAAGTAGCTGGAATCGACCTACATGAGTGGAACGAATTCTCAGATCAAACGCCGCTCATGATGAAGACATCAACATTTCAATTTAAACACCTTCTGCCGCTTGTTTCTTTTAATACCACGTAACTATTGACGGTGGGATATATTGGCTTATGCAACTAAATTCTTATGTTTTCTTTTTACAAATCAAATGAAATGCAATTTTAGACTAATTTTCTCAAAGATGAGCTAAGAGCCCTATATCGCTTAGTTGTCAAATTGAATTTACATCGATAATCGATAGTCGCGAAAATTATGAGATTCGCTTTATCGCTTTGTAAATCAAGACTCTACAGCAAAGCTTTACAGTATAGCTCTACAGTTAAGATAGTAAATGTAGTCGATGATGTCATATATAACATATGTTGCATATATAGAGCCTTAAATTACCATATATAGGTCTATGGCGATCTGGCACGACTCTTATGTTCCTAATCATTATATTCGATAATAGATAATCGCACATCATTTCATCAATAGATAATATATGTATGTAATAAATTTGATATGTATTATAAACTTAATGAAAATAATTGGATTCATCAATGCATTATAATTTGATTACCATCACCATAAACTGGGTGCAACCTGTCCATATGTTATATATGTACTATGTATGTATGTATGTATGTACATGAATATTACTGATTGAATTTACTGCCCTAATATTGCAAATAATAATTTTCCAGGAAACAAATTGTCTATATGCCGCGTTGCTTGCAGGGTAGTTGCTGGTCAGTCATTTAATCGTTTTTCATGATTTCTTAATTTTTTATTGATTCTGATGTACAAAGTGATTTATCGCCGATCCTGCAGCAAAACGGTCAAAACTCAAAAGCCCTGCAACAGAGCAGACCATAAGAATCTGTCTGTGCGGCAAACACACACAAAGACACACACACACATAGAGACGATATAAATCTGTCGATAAGTTGTGGCGGCATTATGAGCGTTTAAACGGCACTCGAGGCACCGCCTACAAAACGTCAACACCCGAGACCAAAGACCAGACACGGCTCGTCCAACTGGCCCGTTTGGCTGATGATGAACTTATCTTCATCTCTAAAATTGTTTAACGTGTTCCTCTGTGTGTGTGTGTGTGTGTGTGTGTGCGTGCGTGCGTCTGTCTCTCAGACATATTGCGGTGCAGTGGCTGCAGGATGGCAGATGTAGATATGGACATGTGCCCCGGGCCCAGCCACCGCCACCGAATCAGCCTCCGCTCCAGCTTGTGTGTGGGCTCAGCCTACCTCATAGTTAGTCACTCGCATTTTCATTTTACTCTTCATTTCTTTGTGCGATAATCGCGCTACGTGTTTATTAAATATTATTAATTAACACAGATCAATAAATATTGTTAATTAACAGAGGTAAATAATTCAGCTTTAATCAATCTAACAATGAGCTGACGGAAAGCCTTGGGAAAGGTTTCATTTTAATGTAATTATATTATAATAAATATTTGTATATTATACATTATATATAATTATTTTGAATATTTTGCTAAAATTTACATACATAGCCAGCAATTAGTTTCTTCTCAGCTTTTGCTAGAAGATAGAGATGCGAGCAAACAATGTAAATGAACTTGATAAAGTGATTCTATATTCTAAATCTGAATATATTTAAATTTTTTATACTTTTCTATTTATTCCATTTACTTTAACCATTACTCTAACTTTTTATTTCAATATAATTAATAATCCGTATAATTGTTAATTAAATAAAATTAATTCCATTGATTCCATTCTTCATTATGGGGCGAGGGCGTTCCGCAAGTCTGTTTCGCTGCTCAAGTTTAGAGTTTCACATCGGGAATTGTGTAGGCGGTATTCTCTGAAGAATATCGAATTTCGAATTCGAAAATGCAATTAATTTGCACAATGCACTTCGCATAGATCCAACCAATTTGGGTCTATTCAATGACTGATGACATGTGTGTGCTTTGGGTCCTTTCTGTGGGTACATTACCCTCTCCTAACTCTACTACTCCCTCTCTCTCGGGCAAGCCTTTTGCCTATTATCGGCACCTTTTTGATAAACCTGAGCCGCCTTGAAAAGGATTTCGATGCTCGCACATTGATTAGAGCTCAGTTTACAGTGTTCAAGGTGTGCATAAGACGAAACTGAGCTACCTCACTTTTTATTCAATTACAAAGGGTTCCCCCTCCCTTCGCTGCAGATCTATATAGATGATTATGTATACATATATGGCTGATTTGTGCTTCCCTCATATGGTTTTCGATCTAATCGCATGCGTGTTACATCAGCAAATGCCCTCACCTGAGCCCACATCTATTCTATTCAATCAGATCCATTTCAGCTGGTTAAGACGTCGGCATTTTGCGAACAATGTCCACTCGAATAATGAGTGCCAAAAGGTGTAAAGCTGGGTGTATCTCTTACCTAATTCAATTGTTCAGCGAAAGAAAAACAGATGTTAACAGCGAGAGTGCCTGATATACTGAATCCTTCAAGATGATCTATAGTGAGGATGATATCGATGTATATACATATGTATTTATAAGTGATGAGTACTAAGTACTAGGTAAATAAATAATATTATTGGAAGACGAATTCATGTATTGCCATTATCAAGATAAAAAATTTTAATTATTCGAAAGTAAAACCTGAAATTGAAATTCCTAATTCCAATTATAAGCAAACGTAGTAAGTACTATATTTTATATTGTATTTCCATTAACTCAACTTAACACCATATAATCGCTCCAATCATTAGCTCTTTTATAAAGAATTCTATCGGCCAACAATATGATTTTTATAATTGCCCAAATTTCTATAGCATCAAATACAAATTGTGACAAATTCGTTGATGATTTCCAATTCATTTCAATAGACGCCCAAAACTCATTCGACTGCCCATTTATGGTGGAGGCCATCAAAATTCATGGTTCGGTTCGCTGTTGAGTTGCCAAAGCAGCGAAAACAACACAACACAAAATGGATGCTATCTACGATGGTCGTATAAACTTAATCGGCAGCTAAGTCGACGATTAATTTTATAGCTTATTTTGTTTTCATGCTGTCTCATCTTGAATAAAAAAATAAAAAAATCTAAAAAAAAAAAAAAAATGCCCATAAGCCTTACCTCTCTCGCTGCCATTTCACTGTGACGGCAACAGCTAAAATAAAATTGGAAATTTATAGTCGTTATGCATTCAGCTCTCTCACTCGGACTCTCTCTCTCTCTCCCTCGCACCCGCTCTTTGTGTTGAGCTGAATTTGAATCTGAGTCTGAGCTTGTGTTGGGCTTTGGATCGGGTTCTGCTACCAAAGGGGCTGTCTCGGCTCGGGCTACCTTTGGCTTCTGCGGAAATTTTAAACGCTCCCAGTTGATGCTGCGGCTGTTCACGACTTCGCGAATGCGAATTTTATGTCGGATTTTTGCTAATGCTCTTTCGGAGGGTATTTTAGTTAATCTATTCATGCTTGTTTTTTTTAGATTTTCTGATCAATTGTGAATATCCCTTTTATTCTTTTGTTAAATAAGTCATTTAAGAATTTTGTAAAACTTATTAAAAAATTTAATGTAATTATTAATTGTTAACTAATTTGTTTATAATGTTATAGTTATTTTTTTTTATTATTTTTATAAAGGTATTATTTTATAAGTTAAATTGAATATATGATATTATTATTGTATAATATATAATATAATAATAGCAAACAAAAAATAAATAAATTGTAAGTATCTTTTTATGCAGATTAAAATAAATGAATTTTTAATAAATCTAAATTATTTATTGAATAAAATTAATTTAATAATTATACAAAAATAATTCAATAATATTTATTTAATATTTGCACAAAACTTGAGCTGGGGATTTGTAAGGGTATTAAATCGTCTGCACTATGCTAAAAAAAAGATTCTACCTTTTCTACTGTTTGCTTGACGTTGATAATTTAGCAAAAATATATATGCAGAAATATATGTATACATAAATATATCTGTCTATATATGTACATATACATAAAGATATTCAATATTTTGACAGCGTTTTGTGCCGAGTTATAGAAGATGGAATTAATTTGCAGCCAGATGATGCGCCCAAAGCCAATCGATGTCAGGCCAACTGCCGCCACGTGACACTGAGAGAGTGGGCTGTGATTTTAGTTAAGGGTTCGGTGATTGGGGTTGGGCTTTGGGCTTTGGGCTCTGCTTGGGCCAAACAAATGATGTAAGTAAGCAATGAATAGGAAGTGCACCTGCGAACGCAGCAGCTGCTGACGCTCGCTGGTGACGCTCTATTACACACACATTCACACGCACAGCTCGGTCGAGGTAGTTAACAATTTAAAACTTGGCTCAAATTACATGGCACTCAACACCCCCAACCCGAACCACCCAACCACCCAGCCGACAGTACGCACCGCCTCAGCAAGTGGGGCTGGCCGCTTGTGCGGTTCCCGAGCAATTTAACTTAATTTTAGGCTTCGAAGGCATGAATTATGAAGCACGCGTTCAACTGCCTCCCCTCCGAGCCGCCCTGCCCCACACCTGCCGGGTAGCCTCTTTAACGCATCCTTCATTAGAGCTGGGCAGTAATTACGGGTCTTGCATGCACGATTTGTTT